AGTATTGTTCATTCTTAGTTAATGCTAACTAATGTAGTTAACATTAACTAAGAATGAACAATACTCCTTCAGCATTTGTTAATCTTTGTTAATGTTAATTTCAACATTTACAAATACTTTATTTAAATCTTGTTAACATTAGTTAATGCACTGTGAACTAACATGAACTAACAATGAACAGCTGGATTTGTATTAACTAACGTTAACAAAGATGAACAAAAACAGTAACAAATGTATTGCTCATGGTTAGTTAATGTTAATTAATACATTAATGTTTAATAAATTAACCTTATTGTAAAGTGTTACCGACATTTTTAATCTTTTTTTTAATCAGCTTTCAGCATTGGCTAACAAACAAATGCTTAAAGCTATTTTTTTATTAAAAAAATACCAAAGTGGTATTTTACTGCCCCTTGCTGTCATTTCATCATACTACTCCCTAATATTGTTTTATAATTCATATTTAGAATTTCTAAAATCATTATTTCAACATTTACAATCACATTTTGTCCAAATTCATCTATTGGAGTATTATGGACTGCATTTATTTTATTTTATTTATTACTATTTACAATTGTGTCACAGGAAGGCTGAAAACGAAAGTATAACGTTGGGCCACGCCCCCCAAGGACAAATTCACTCATAACTCGAAAACAGAAAGTCGCTGCACGCTCAAATTTTGATGGTAAGGTTCTCTCGGGGTTCTTGATCCAAATCTATCGTCGCGGGGCTCGGGAACGCCCCCAATCTTTAGATAATTTTTTCATTATCTCGTTCCCGAGATATAAGTGAAAACCAAATTTCCATTCATTTATTTCAACTGTATATAGTCTGTAATACCACTGTTATCCAATAGATGGAGCAGCAGCATTATACAAATGCTGAAGGAGTATTGTTCATTCTTAGTTAATGTTAACTAATGTAGTTAACATTAACTAAGAATGAACAATACTCCTTCAGCATTTGTTTATCTTTGTTAATGTTAATTTCAACATTTACAAATACTTTATTAAAATCTTGTTAACATTAGTTAATGCACTGTGAACTAACCTGAACCAAAGAGTATAGAAGAACAAGAGGCGAAACTCCGATGCTTTTCTGGTAACAGCCGCTAGGTGGCGCGGCCGCCATTTTGGGGTGAAAATTCCAACTGGAGTTACTGGGCAACAGCACAGATAACAGTTTTTTAGGTAGTTTTTCTTGCATTTTTATGCAACTTTACACATTTACTACTATTATTAGTTACCAACTCCACTAGGCCTGAAATATATTTTGTACGTTTTAATCCCCTGGATCGTGCTACAAACATGATGATCTTAACATGATGCATTGGTGTGTCCGTTATCTGTGTTTTTTTGTTTACATAGGCTTGCTTTAACGGTCATTAATATAAAATAGTACTGCAAAAAAACCAGTTTACTGTAAAGCTATTCTATTGCTGTTATATATTTATTGTCCAACATTTACATTTTAGTACAATTACATTTATTTGCTGAATTCATTTATTTCATTGAACTTATTTTTGTATGTAAGGTTATGTGTACCTCCTGGGAAACGGTCTAACGTTATAACTTTATGAACTTACATCACTTTATTCTTCTTACCTGTCAAACTTAATGTAGAGATTAATATAATTAATTAAATCCTTGAACTTCCCTGTCTCAAGTTATGTGGGGGAAAAGCCTAGTAGCAACTTCTTTTTAACGGATATAACGTTAACTGTTGTGAATTAAAATAATCACCTAATTATTTCAACCTAAAAATGACCTCTGCACTGGACTAAATATATTTATAATATATGACTGCCGAGTCGCTTTCACCCCAAAATGGCGGACGCGTAGGGCTGCTGCTGGGCGCGGGTGTTGCAATGGAACGTTCTATTGGCTTTCACTTCTTGTCAATATACGTTCTTTGCCTGAACTAACAATGAACAGCTGGATTTGTATTAACTAACGTTAACACTAGAAGTGCCAGAATTCCATAACTACTAGAACTGCCACAAGCGGTCATTTTGACCGTTAGATTGCAAACTCTATATCTTTAATGATAAATACCCAATTGAGAGATTAATGCATTTGTTGTATTAGGATATCTTTTAAAAACAAAACAACACCAAACTGTACATTTTAAAAAGTTTAATTATACATTTATAAATAATAATATCAGTAGCCCGTAATTATCGCATAGGGCCTATTCACAACAGAGCTATATTTCCATATCCCTTCAACATAACTCAGAACAAGATAATAACAACTAAAAGTATCTTATTTAGATATTCTTTTGACAGTGAGAGAGACAATGTCACGGTTTATGAATTCGCTGTCTCCTTTCTCGTCTTGTTGTGTGTGTGTGTGCGTGGTCGCTGATCAATGCAGCTTATCAGCACGTGCGCTCTGATCAAGGCGCCAGCTGCAACTGATCAGCGATTCGACCCTTTTTAGTGTTACTGTTCTCGCCTAGTCTTTGGGTGTTTCTCAAAACCAAGAATGCAAAGAACGGACTTGTGTTCTTGGGGAGAACGCTCTTGCTAGTTGTTCTTGGAAGAATGAACTCACAAGCTAACGAGCACACAGAACGCTGCTGACAGTTTGAGACGATGTGTTCTTGCTGGTATTGCGCAATAATACCCCCGCACAGACACCGTCTGCAGTACCCAAACATAACGAGAATTATTGACGATAACAGCCAGGCTGCAATGGTCTCTTGGCTGTGGGGAAAAACGAGTCTGTGAGCAAACTGGCCGGTTGGCTCGATAGCTAACGTTACACCCGCAGGCGCTTATGGAGATTCTCACTTCCGAAAACGTTTGAGCACATTTTCGATTAGCCATACATTTTCGTAAAAATGCCAATATTTGAAATCTACACAGTTGATTTCTCGCATCAAATGTTCTCAGAAGTGAATTTAGTGATGAAATAGTGTACGTAATTGTAGAAAAACGAAATACTGTATTGACCTGCCTCTCCTTCCTCGAATGCCGAATTGAATGCTGGGATATTTCTGCCGTCAAGTCAACACAAGTTACCAACCGATGCATCCTTGGTAAAATGGGCGTGTCAAGAACACATCCGGGATTTTTAACTGTTCTTGCCAAAATGCAAACTTGTGTATTGGGACAGTACTTGGGCCACAAAAGATGACGTTTCACAAGAACACAAGGACACAAGTACAGACAAGAACACAGATTGAGAAAGGCCCTTTGTCAGATCGTTGTGGATTTTTCCTGCGTGTTTGTTCCCTGCCTGTATACGTTTTCCGTGTGTCATCCCGTGTTCAGCACTCCTGGTTCAGCACTCACTCCATCGTCCCTGTGCTGCCAAGGGCTTCATACCGGACATTTGCACACCTTAACTCTCCCAGCATCTGACCAGCTCTCAATAAACATATCTGTCATTTTGCAATTGAATCTTCTGATTTTTTCCTAATAGACAAAGGTCAACCGCGAGAAATGTAACAAAAGAATACCGCGAAATTCAGTGCGGTCAATATGACCGTCTATGGCCGAAATAGGTAAATATGTTCATTTGTTTGTTTGCCTTATGTGTAATTTATATTAAAAACATTTTAAATGAAAATACAGACACTTTTAGGAAAAGTCAGGTACCAGCAGGATTTTTTTTTTTTTTCAACAAAGTTATTGCAGATATAAAATTCAAAACGGTCAAAATGACCGTCGTGGCCATTCTAGTGTTAACAAAGATGAACAAAAACAGTAACAAATGTATTGCTCATGGTTAGTTCATGTTAATTAATACATTAACTAATGTTTAATAAATGAACCTTATTGTAAAGTGTTACCGACATTTTTAATCTTTTTTATCAGCTTTCAGCATTGGCTAACAAACAAAAGCTTAAAGCAATTTTTTTATTAGTTTTAATATAGTTTTATATTATTACATCACAAAGAAATATGTGAAATGCATGCTTATACACCATTAAAAGAGATTTTCACAATAACATATCCCATGTGTGTGTGTGTGTGTGTGTGTGTGTGTGTAAGCATATGTCTACATATGAATGCAAAAGCACTTGTGAAAACACTTTATTAATAAGTACAGTGGCCAGCAGAGGGCAGTAGAAGACCACTTATTGGCTCACTTTCATTTTGACACACTTGATTTTCACCAGTAAATCACAGCACTAAAGCAAACCAGTTTTTCCATGTTAACTATTATAACACAATCATTTTTTGTCAGAGTTTATCACTTCATTTTTATTGGCCCTTCACATCAATGCAGCAATGTGGTAAATCATGGTAAATCACGATAGAAACATGGTAAATCATAGTAAAAAATACTATTACATGGTGGATCATGGCAAATCATGCTAGCAATGTGATGAATCATGGTAAATCATGCTACAATCCTGGTAAATCATTCTAGAATGTGGTATATCATGGTAAATCATCCTATAACATGGTAAATGATGGTAAACTGTGGTAAATCATGCTAGATTCATGGTAAATCATACTGGAACATGGTAGATCATGAAAAATCACACTAAATTTGGTATATCATGGTAAATCATGCTAAAACATGGTCTATTCCATCTATGATGTCAATGGTTAAATGCTTGCTACATAAAACTTAATGTCTTTTGATGCTTTTGTGCTTAACGGCCTTAAAGGCCTTAACTGCTTGAACACCGCTAAATGCTGCTAGCAGCTTTAATTTCAATTATTATTTCATAAATTCACATTTAATTAAATTTGTGTTAATAAGAATTAGGCCAATGATTGTATATTTCAGCAAAATATATTTTTTCTGTTTATATCAGTCTGAAACAAGTTATAATAAAAAAAGTAAAACTTTTTACAACAGTAATAGCTGACTCTTTTTACATATCATATCAAGTTTTAATAATGAGGTTTTTCACATTATTCAGGTTCTTTAGTTCTGAGATTCTTCTAAAAAGTGTGTTGTCTTGTGACTCCCTGAGTGTTGCTGGTGTTGTTTACCCTTTATCTACTCTATACCACTGTCTGTGTCTTATTGTTTCAGAGGTCATCCCCACCGATAAAGAGGACGTTGCATTCAAAGATTTGGATGCTGCAATCCTGGTGGGCTCCATGCCAAGGAGAGATGGCATGGAGAGAAAGGACCTACTTAAGGCCAACGTTGCCATCTTTAAGGCTCAGGGGGAGGCACTAGACAAGTATGCAAAGAAAACAGTCAAGGTGAATATCCGTGACCTAATTAAGTGCTTGCACAGTTGGAAGAATTAAAGTTAATCAAGTATGAAGCCAGTATTTTGACCCTTATGTTTTAATATGCAGGTTCTAGTTGTTGGTAACCCAGCCAACACTAACTGTCTGATTGCGGCCAAATCCGCCCCGTCCATCCCCAAAGAGAATTTCTCCTGTCTGACACGCTTGGATCACAACAGGGCTTGCTCTCAGGTAAAACATCCCCTTGCTGGATGGTCCACGCCACGCTAATGGAGCACAATACAAAGATGTGAAATGATTCAATTTATACCCACTAACTTGTACCACACAATGTGTCCTCTAGGTGGCAATGCGTTGTGGCATTTCAGCAAACGGTGTGAAGAATGTGATCATCTGGGGAAATCATTCGTCTACGCAGTACCCTGACGTCCACCACTGCAAGGTGATTGTGCAGGGAAAGGACGTGACTGCCTTCGATGCAGTGAAGGACGATGCCTGGCTGAAGGGAGAATTCATTTCTGTAAGTGTTGTCTGCTATGACTTCCTCCTCCTGTAGAGGTCACTGTTGGCCTATTTACTATGCCACATTACTGAGTTAGCAAGAATATTACAGTATGTTTATTAGCATTCAAGTGTATGACATTTGTAATAAGAAAGTCAGTTTAAGTAGGTCCATTGTAACAACATTCAGTTTGCACATGACTACTGACTGGAATAATCTGATCAGAATCTTTCTATTGTTACTCCACTCTTCCTTTGTTTCACAGACAGTGCAGCAGCGAGGTGCTGCAGTCATTAAGGCCAGGAAGCTCTCCAGTGCCATGTCAGCCGCCAAGGCCATCTGTGACCACATGAGAGACATCTGGACAGGCACTTCCGAGGTCAACTTTTTTTTAGGGCCCTGGCCCCCTAGTTGAGAGTTACTGCTGTAGATTTTTGATTGCATCTTAAAAGCAGTCTCTTAATGATTTCTACTCTAAAGTTATGTGTTTACCAGCAATTTCTGACAAAATAAGGCTCAAAGTCAGCCTAATAAACAGGGAAGACACAAGGGGAAAAAAATAAGACCTAAACTTCTGTTAAAACAGTCCGCCGATTGAAATGTCCTATAGATGCTTGATGTTGCTCTATGGAGCTAAAAAGCCAAGTAATAGGAAATAAAAATGCCCAAGGACTGTGTAATAACATTGTACATTTACATAACATTGCTCATTAGTCTTGTTTCCACTCCCATAAAAAACAATATGAGTTACATTATTATGTATTGACAACAAGACTAATGAGCAATGTTATGTAAATGTACAATGACTGATGCTATACATTTTGATTGGGAGGCCACTTGTTCTGAACTCTTCTTGCATTTGTTTTATAGGGTGAGTTCATCTCTATGGGTGTCTTTTCCACTGGAAACTCTTATGGAGTACCTGAGGACCTAATTTACTCATTCCCTGTTTCAATCAAGGTTTGTCATGAAACTTTCCCAAGATCTGTGTCTGATATCTCTTTCTTAATCTCCACACCATGGCCTTATTTACTGAGATCAATCCTGAGATCAAATTCATATTCACATCTATTCATCATACTCTAATGAACTAGAAAAGTATGATTTTAGCCACCATTGCAACATTTCTCTTTTTCTTCAGGGCAAGACCTGGAAGATTGTTGATGGGCTGGCCATCAACGACTTCTCAAAAGCCAAGATGGATGCAACAGCAGCAGAATTAGTGGAGGAAAGAGACACCGCTGTCTCTTTCCTGGGTGTGTGACTGGAAACCCAGCCATATTCACCACTCTTAGATGCCCAGAAAACTCCAGAAGCACGTTTGTGAAACACTCGAGAAAATCTTTATCTTCCCCTGAAACTGTTACATAAATTCTAGAACTGTATGTACTTGAAATCCTAATTCTTCCTTTTCAGCTGGATTTTGGCTGATTTTTCAGAATTGGAACCTAGTCTTGTTGTTTAGCAGGGACTTCGGTTGTTTCCCTTCCTGTTTTTGGTTTTCCATCTGAGCACAGCTGAGAAACAATAGTCTAAAACAAGATGTTAGTTATTTGTAGACTGCCCTTTCTAATTAAAGCTGCATAAAGGAGAAACAAAGCCTGGAAAGGACTCAGAGTACATAAATTAGGTCTTTCTTTGTCATTTTCCAGCCTTTACTGAAATTTCAACTGCTACATGTCTGACAGGTGTTCATCAGAAATGAACAAGGACTGTTTAATGTGTTAAAGTGCTTTGGTAGTGCGGTTACTGTAACAGATTTTATATGTATTCAGCAATAAAAACTAGACATTAAAATGCATACTTGCTCTCATTTTTAAAATACGTAGTTTTCCTACATTAATAAATCAATCTTTTGCACACTGCAGTTTACACTGAATTGGTGCTCAAAATTTGTTATTATGACCACTGTATTGTAGTGTTAAGAGTCAGGATACTTTTTGTGTTCTTGACCTCACTTAGAAATGTTAGAAAAACTAAATATTGTACTTGTTCTCTGACACATTACATTCTGTATGAAACGAGAGTTAAACGTTCTGTACTGCAAGGTCATTGGTGTGAGGTTGCAGACGTGGCCTTCTCGACTGTGTTGCCAAATCTCGATAGAAAAACAATCAAAAATTTGCTGTCTTTTCGATACTTAATAATTAAGGTAGGTGATGTTTTATTGTACTAAGGAGACCAAGCACTAGAAATCCCCAAAACGTGACTGTATCCTACGGATAAGCTCAAAAAAATCTAAACCCGCGACAGAGCTCATATTTATAAGTGAATTAGTTATTAAGCAGCAACACATAAGTCGCTTATAGTATGCGGACATGGCAACACTGCGGCCCGACTGAAGTCAGCCAATGAGATTCGCCATACTGAAATTCAGTGCTTTCATTGGTTACTGGGAGTTTACATTTTTTCTCCCTTTGCAATACATTAACGCTTAACTTGCATTTGTTTACATCATAAATTAAAATAACCCACTGTTCCGTTGTATCTATTTATGTAAAATTTAAGTGTGAACTGATAAATTAATCCATAATCACTATTCATCAAAACTGGGTGACTAGGATAAATCACAATAATTACCGAAAATAATATTAAAATAAAGAAATGAATGACAAGTGGCGTGCATTATTTTGGTTTCAAAGCAGTTCTTTTCATTTAACCATATTCAACGTATGATATTCAGGATGTTTTTAAACAATGTTTTTGGTGAAACACTTCCGCAGTGTTTCAGTGACCCCGCACTGCTAAGAGAAGAAAGTTGGTTGGTCAGAGAGAGGGAAACACGTCGCTGTTCCGGAACAACCTTCGGCAGCTCCCCGACAGCATCCTTCAGCCTTCAGAGTAAGACGCTTCAAATCTACTTTCAAATTCGCTTTGCAATCATAATACTTTAACGCCATGGAACCACCTCTACCGTGTTCCTAAAAAAATATCTAAAAGTCGACGTTTTTTCGATGCAATTACAACGTCAAGCGTCTGCTGGATTTATGCATAGAGAGAACATCACTGCTCCGTGATTGCAAAGAAAAAATTGCAATAACGCGTGAAGTCCATGATAAATGATACAATTGAAGCTTCTAACAACTCATTTCTTAGCATAGAATATAGTGATATAAAAAACGATTCGTTCTTTACCCCCTAAACTTAACAAATCTGGCCCTAATATCTTTAAAATGACAACTAACGCAGCCAGGATCGGGAGGATGTGATCGAGGAAGTGCGAGCGAGTGGAATAATGTGACGTGTTAAATAATGACTGACCAAAAGGGGCCGAGCACAAATGTAATTATGTGCATCTCTGTATGTGTACATGTAGGAATTGCTTCACCTTTTGATATAACACACCGTCTCCTTTGAGCAATAAACGCGCGCGCGAGTAAAGGTTGACGAGGTAGTCGTTTATTCGCCCTGCATTACTTGATAGTCAGTGGGAGGAGAGAGAGAGAGAGAGAGAGAGAGAGAGAGAGAGAGAGAGAGAGAGAGAGAGAGAGAGAGAGAGAGAGAGAGAGAGAGATGGTTCATTTAAAAGCGCGTGAACGACAGAGGAAAGCGCTCGTGAACAGAGAGAATCGATCAGCTGACCTTCTGTCTTATTATTATTAATACACATAAGCGTCACATCCCGACTGGACTGTATCTATGTTGCTGTTCTTCCCATGACAGAAAAAACAGGATTATTTTTGTTGTGATATTGAACCGAACTGCATTTCATAGAGTTTAGAGGACAGATACTGTAGCACTATGTCGCTTTACGTTGAAGGTAAGAACATTAATTAATCCTTTTTTCTTTTTTAGTACTTACAAAGTACTTTTAAGGTTGTATTGGTTCTCTCGATATATCTTGATTAATGAGATGATACTATTGATCAACCCGATCTTACCGCACCATGTAAAAGCTGTCAGTTGAATTCTGATGAGAGTGAGAGCTGAATGGACCCTTCAGTCAATGTTGACTGGTAGACTGAAAAAGTTGCTCAAGAAATCTGGCTCTACAGAAATTGAAGGATTTATGGAGGGCATTTTGTAGACTCTTGACCTTTCCAGACTGTTGGTCCATTCCTTGCTTTGGTTTTGCTGTTAGAGGTTTGGTTCTCTGACAGCTATTCATTTGGCTTGTGTCTAATTTAAAGAGATTTTACATTAAACATAATTATGGGAGTTGCTGAGTTATATCTTCTCTGACTGTTTGCGTTCAACAGTGTTAAGAATGTGCAGTACTAATTTAAATCTTGAAATTAAAAAGCTTTAGGATTTAACAAATATAATACTAAGAAACATGATGATGACTTACAGTATAAGGCTACCAAGAGTTTGTGGTCAATAAGATTTTTTTAAATATTTTTGAAAGTAGTCTCTTATTATCACTCATTATTATTATTATTATTATTATATTATTCTCACCAAGGCTGCATTTATCTGATCAAAAATACTGTAAAAACAGTAATATTGTGAAATATTTTTACAATTAAAAATAACTTTATATTTGAATATATTGAAATATTTTATGTATCACTCTGATGGCTCTGAGTTTTTTTGTGTGCGTCCGTTTTTAACACGTCTTCATTGTCGTACAGTATATACTATGACCTTAATGACAACTGAGATCTTACAACAGTGTGACATGGATTGCATCGGGATCATGTTCGTACAGTCTGACAAGTAACAATCGTAAAGGACAATTATAAATCGCACAGTGTGCAACCGGCTTTAGACTTTTGCACCTCTGGATGTACAGTGCATGGTTTCTTTGCTGTGAAGGTGAGATGAACTATTGATGTGTTGATACAATCATTTGTAAATGGCAATTTTCAAGTTATCTGTTTTACAGTGTACCTTTACAAAATACCCCCAGAGTATTGGTAGTATCATACTTCCTGCATCACTCCATTGTCATTCTTTATGACATTACAGCTTATTTATTGTCCTTTTTAAAATTTATTTGGTAAGTAGCTGTGTACGTGAAATAATGTACAGTCAGCTGGTCATTAATGCAAAATAACCCCTGTTCATCCTGTTAGCTGATTGTGCATTGTCACTGTCTTCTTTAAAGGGGCCATTAACTGCATTTTGTAGAGAAAAAAAAAGTTCTCTGAGGTCAAGATTTTTTTAAAGCCTAATTTAGAAGTAATAAGCTGTTTTCTATCCTGATTTCGACCCTCTATTTCGAACACTCGATAAAAGGAAACAAAAAATTAAAATGTTGCGTCTTACAAATGACAAAACAGAAGATCTCGCTCACTGAAGATTTTATTCAGGATTACAGTAAATCAAAACAATAACAGAAACTCTTCATACTTTCTTCCATATCTGATAATACAACAAATTAATCCCATAAATGCTGAAGCAAATGAAAGAATAGCAAATCACAACTATTCAGTTTGACTGGCGCTACAGTATAAATACTAGTCAGTAGGGGTGGGACAAAATATCGATAGGGCATATTGTTGTCTTTCTCCATGCGATACGAGAATCGATATGCTGGCGCCAAATATCGATATTTTAATTAATAAAATAAGCCATTCTAAATAGATTTCTCTGCTCCCAGCGTCACTACTTCAGGGCTCCTCGAGGTGGCCCTCAACACATGAATGAGGGAAACACGAATATAAGTTAACTAGCTTAAGAAAAATAAAATAATAGATGCCCCAGCCACGTTTAAGTCCAAAGTCTGGACCCACTTTGGCTTTTATACCATTGATGGGACAGACAAAACTGACAAAGAGTACGTGATATACAAGAAATAAAAGTAAAGTGCATGGGTAATACCACAAACATGCAAAGCCATCACTCTGATCTCATTGAAAAATTTTAATCTACTTAAAATGTTCAATTTAATTTAAAGACTGAAAAACTTTTTGTGCTGTTTTCTAAAAGTTTGGACTTGAACCTGTTTTAACCTTTTAGACAGATATTGTGATGTATCATTATAGGATTGTCTAGCAATATATTGATTATCGCAGAATTGCTGTATCGTGGTATCGTGAGCCATGTGTCGTATTGTGACACCCTGTGTTTCGCTGAGTGTTTTTTCAGCATACAAAAGCACAAATACTAATTCTGAGAAATACAGAAATGGTCTCTTATTTAATGCGCTGGCTGACATTGTCACTTAGAGGCTGTTGTAGATGTTAAATGTCACATGCTAGGCACTACGTGAGAAGATAATTATTGGAGGTTATGCACAACAAACTTCATTGCTTCTGGACTGGTTCATAAAGATGAGCATAACCGATATCAATCACATATGCAGACTGATATCTAAAAGTTTTTTTCTTTTTTTCTTCTCACTAACATTTAGATATTTAAATCGAATAAAACGGCAATAACTAGCCAGGCTGTCTTTGACAAGCGGATGCAATGAGATCTGTTTTAATGTTTGTTCATGTGACATTCAGCATAAAGCCTATTTTGGCACACTGGCAGACGAATGAATTAAATTGGGTGTATACAGATGATATGTGGTCAAGCGGAATTCAGTCAGGTAGTCGGAAATGTATTGTAGAAGGTAGCACACTTGAACATGACATAGATATAAAAGCTGATGTCTAAAGGTAATCAGAGTTGGAAGGCCCAATAATAATAACGATAAAGGAAAGCAGTTAACCTGTTTCTCCTTCCCCCTGACCTCAAGCTCAGAATCTATTATTGAATAAAGCTAATCAAACAAAATGGGGTTTAACCTCTCTATTGTCCCCTTTCTCTCAAGGATAAAGGGGTGTATTTGTGGTAGAACAGGGAAGTCTTGAGTCACACCTCACAGTTCAGTCAGTGTTAATGGCCAATGCAGGAAATTAATCCAGAGCCCATTGATGATGTGTGTTTTACATTCTTTAAATGCTCTAGATGATAACATACTGTATCTGTGGTTTCATGCCTTCTGGTATTTTCATTTTCGGCCAGAAGTAAGGCAGTGGTATGTACAATTATCAGTAACAGCTGCCAGCTTCCTTATCATATGGAGATACTATCACTGCAAATAAGATTTATTAAAAATAATTTTATTTAGAAGATTTATTAAGGAACTGTATTTAAAGTTTGAACACGCCAACTGTATTCTTTATTGGTACGACTCCTCATAAGTCATTAAAATGATGTGAAAAACTTTAACATTAAGGTGTGTGGTTTCAATTGTAGGTCTGAGTAAAGAGTTATTACCAAGCGACCTCTACGGGATGGCTCAGTTTCAGGAAGTAATGCGACAGCAGCTGGAGAGCTCTATGCATGTTGAGCTGGAGAAACTCTTAAGCACGGTCAAAGGTCCAGATGCTGAGGTGAGATACAAGCTTACAAAAAAATTCAACACATTTTCAAATATTCAGCTAATTTTTTTATGATTTAAAAAAGAGTGATTTAGACACTACCATTCAAAAGTTTGGTGTCTGTAAGTTTTTTGAATGTTTTAAAAAAAGAAGTCTCTCATGCTCACCAAGGCTGCATTTGTGTGATCAAAAATACAGTAAAAACAGTAATATTGTAAAATATTAGTATGATTTAAAATAACTGTTTTGTATTTTAAAATGTAATTTATTCCTGTGATTCAGCATCATTACTCTTCAGTGTCACATGATCCTTCAGAAATCCTTCTAATATGCTGATTTGCTGCTCAAGAAACAGGTCTTATTATTATCAATGTTGTAAACATTTGTGCTGCTTAAATTTTTTGTGGAAACCGTGATAATTTTTTTTTTTTTCACGATAAAGATAGTAGTATTTGGCTGGTTATGTGATCTCAACATGTCAGACTAAGAGCCAACCTGCTCCATGTTAAATAAAACCTTTTTTATTAGGCTACTGATATGACTGGAGTTTTTATCTCAAGTGAGTGCACTTTTAATTAAAAGTAGAAATCATAATTTTTATTTATTTATAGTCTCACATTTTTAGTGCATTTAGAAATGACAAGGGAGCAAAGATGAGAAATGAGAGGAAACCTCTTTGGGTGCCATCTGAGTGCTGTAGCAGCTGATGAATGACGTGCCAGTATGACGGGAGAGATTTCATTGCACTGCTGAGCTGATGTTTAATTAGTCTCACCATGAGACTGGCTTCATCATGATGCATCTTCTCTCTGGGATTTCTTCAGACCCTACACACTTCCTTCTGTTCATCTTTTACCCTTCTTTCATTTTTCTTTCTTTAGCTACACTGAAATTCTCAGTTAGTAGAGTTCATTTGAGCATGTCAGATAGTAAAACTCTGAGCTGTTTGGCGATTCACCCCAGTGTTTCCTCAGCACCATATGGTTATAATCAGACTTAGCCGTCATCACCGTGACACATGCTGACCGCTTGTGTCACCCCTCCCTCTGTCTCCATAACACACAGACTCCCATAATCCCACCCAAACATTTACTGCCAAATGACATTAAAATCCACACCCTGCTAGATCAAATAAAGTATGATAAGATAATGTGAAGATAAGTCATCAGTTTACAGTTGTAAACATTGTAGCTGCCTTTTAAGTAGGGATATCAAAAGCACTGGTACTTCAGTAATACATTGATTCTTGACAAATAATAAACCAGTCTGTCATCAGTAGTGTTTTCTGATTCACAGGCAGCTGCTTTTGACTCTTACATACGTATTTGTAATGAAATTAAATTTATGTAAACATAATAAAGTTAATGTAAACAGGTGGGACGAAAATGGGATGTTTAAATATTAGATCAGTGAATTATACCTTCCAATACATTCTAATAGACCTATTGCTGTCTATCATTAACCAAACAGTAAAGTGTTGACAATATAATATTATTTATATATACTACTGCTCAAAAGTATGTGGTTGGTAAGATTCTTTTAATGTTTATGAAAGAAGTCTCTTATGCTCACCAAGGCTGCATTTGTAGAAAACACAGTAATATGTTTTAAATTGTAATAATAGTTCACAATATGTTTTTTATTTATAAATATATGTTTATATTTTAAATATAAATATTTAAAATGTATTTCAAAATGTAAATGTTTACTATGTATGCAAGCAATGGCAGAGACGCGGTGCAATGTAACCTACAATTCAGTTTAGCAATGCATGACGTCACCCATTTAAAGTAAATGAGAAGCGGTAACGCCGACCACAACTTTCCCCCCACAAAACCATCTTATGGAATAATTCAGATATTAAAATATAATAAAATATTTACAACTGATGCGTGTTTGCACTATTGTAAAAAGACATCTTGAATAAAAAATAAAAAAGGTAATGCCGACACCCCGCGTAAATGCACCTTAACTGTTGTTCTCTTCAGTCAAAACTTCATATCTTCTTTCAAGGTTTATGTATCAAATTTACACTTTGATTAAAATAGAGAGCTATAGAAGTAACTTTAAATTCTCAGCAGGCACAAGGAGTTTTATGGATTTTCATCAAACAGGTTTTATTTATAATGATGTGCTCAGTGAGAGGCCTGAGGACCCAGCAATCTTTCGCAGCAGGGTGGTAATTATTTCAGAAGCCTTTAGTAGTTCTAATTGCCAGATTGTACAGAACAGGATAAGAAAGTTATGCTGATAGGTTGTTTTTTTATGCTTTTTTTGTTGTTGTTTTGTTTTCTTTTTTCAAAAAGAAAAAAATGCTGATGTCCTTAAATTTAAAGGCAAATGTAAAAGTTTAAGTACTGATGATTGAAAAATGCATTTTGACTCACCACTGTTCTGAAAATATCTCTGTCTAATGTCAATAAGGGTTATGGCCTGGTTATGGAGGTTAATGCATTGTACATTCTTGGATAGGCCTATGGTGGCATCATCTGCCAAAATAGGTTGAGTTTTAAGTATTTGTTTCTCAGAAGGAGAAAACAGGAAGGACAGTCCTCAATAATCTTTTTTTTTTTTGCCTGCTCTCTTCCCCAGGTGTCTAAGAAGGACTTTGAAGGCTTTAGGAAGATATTCCACCGATTTCTGCAGGTGAAGGGACCTTCAGTAGAGTGGCCAAAAATCAACAGGCCCCCTGAGGACTCGGTAAGATAAGCAAGTGATTGATCGTACACAAGCCTATTTCTTACACTCGCTTGGATTCTTAATTTAGCCCACATTTTGGTTACTTTGATTGTAGACCTATAAGCTGAATATGCAAAGAAAGTCAAAACTATAGCATCTATACACACTTCAAGTATTAAAATCGAGAGGTCAACGGCACTCAGAGCCTCTGCTTTGAGTCTCATGTGTGGCCATTAGTATCGTCACAGGCTCTGGGAATTAGCCATCTGTGATTAAAAGCTTCCCACATTCCAGCATTAATTAATTTGTATGCCATTCATACACTTAAGTACATAAGTATCCAAAGACTTTGGGTCCAGTTAGAGTTACAGTATATTAGCCTGTAGATAGACATAGTGTGAATGATTGTGTGTGTTCAAGGAAAATTATAAATAAAGCTACGACATTGATTTGTGTCTGTGGGCAAGGGAGAGGGTGTAAGAAAGACGAACAGTGAGCAAAATTGACTCCTAATTTGATTTGGCGGTGTGTGTTTGTATTTCACATAAAGAATCCAGTGTCGGTCTGCTTTCCTCTGGGTCTGTGATGATTATGCAATGCTCAGTAAGAGCCAGAAACCCACACACAAGCCTTTTAGCTCCACAAGGAATCACATACAGGCTATACTATAAAACTGTTTGTGAAATGTTTGATGCTATAGTCTGCAGCGTATAGCAAGGTTATCTGAACAGGATATTAAATGCATCACTCCAGAAATTCCTGTTTTGAGTGCACATACAAGACAAGAACTAAAACCAAGCTCCTTTCAGACTCAAAAAGTAAAGTTGACAGACCGTTACATGTATGTGTGTATGCATATAAACTTAAGGATATTTGGAGAAGGTTAGGTTGTTGTTGGAGAAATTCCTGCAATATGTTTGGTTTGGGATGAGGAACTGAGGGATGGGCTCTATGTACTGCAGTATTTTCTGTCATTCTGACTTGAGGGTGTGTCATTGTTGTATGTCCTTATGAAACTGTCTTTGAACAAAAATCAAACTCATTCTCCGTTAAACATCTGCTGGGTGTATAAGGCTAACCAATCGTTGCCAGAACTTCAGATCCTGCAACATCATGCCTTATGTTTGCTGTAATAATGACCAATGTCATCCCATTAGATATATTATACCCAAGATAAGTTACTGATTGACTTGTTTGTGGTGTAAAAACATCAAGTCACTGGAACTTTTACCCAGAAATTTTTACCCTGATTTTATGTTGAGGTCATCATGATATTTCTCACCCAATCTGTTCAAAAACCTGATTAGCTCAACTGTTGCGTTTTAATCCACATTTTAAGTTTAAAGCTGCAGTCTGTAGTTTTTCCTCTTTGTCACCATCTCTGTTCGAAATCTGCAATTGCAGTTATTCGCGGAATTATCAACTTTACGTGGGTTGTGCCTCGGCTCGGCACTGCCCGGATGAATCCAATGTTTTGAGGAGAATGTGCGGCTGTCAGTCACCGCGCCGGTGTGGATACTGTCATTCGCAATCACAGATTCTAATTTTTGGAAGTATGACCAACATAAGAATTTTCACCGGAAAATGTCATCTGAACAAGTAACTAACATCCAGTTTTGTTCTGAACAACTAAGGGGGGAAAAAAGCATTGCAGTAAATCGCGCTTATTTAAATCTAACGATCGCTTATCTTATCACGTCAAACCGTGCAAATTATACTTTGTTCTCAAATTGTTAATGTTTAAGTCCCCGTGAACCGGAAGTTGCAAACGACTTTTCTCCAGTGTTGTGACGTATTTCCAAGTGAAAGGGAATATTGAATAGAGGGCAGGGTGTTTTACTTTAGTGCTCCTCCTCTCCATCTCTCGTAGCAGACTAACAGTTTGAGGGGAGTAGCCACACCCTCACGCCATAGCACATGACAGGAAGAGAGGAGAAGACGTTTCGAGGGGGGAGGGAAGGATAACGTATTTGATTAAAGATTAAGGGTACATGAATTTTTAGTACATGAAAGTGCACAGATAAATAATTTATAATAAACACTACAATATTAAATATAAAAATACGAATTGTAAAATTTGATTTCATGGCGACTTTAACAAAGTAAGCATTGCGTGACTACATTTAATGCCCTTCAGATATTTATCCTTGTTTGGGCCCGGTTGAAGTCTCTTTTTTTTCTGTAACCAAAGTCCAAAGTCTTTTACATTTTACAACGGGTGAATCTACAGTTGTCACTGGTGATTGTCGTATGAATCTTTCTGGATCCGCCATCAAATAAATGTTTATTTATATCAAGTGCTGTGAGAAAAGGCTATAAATCTCCACCTCCAACATCCTCACACGCAATATAGCCTACTAGCCGAGAAAGACTCCTTCTTTATGTGTACAGATGTGACGTAATGACGCAAAGAGATGCAAGAATTTCCCACGGAAATCCACCAGTACCACTGGAATTAAAAACATTATTACAAACTTACCGTTTTTAATCGAGCTAGCAAGCAGATAGTTTTGAACACTGGCTGGTTATGTACTTGCTCAAATTTATTTTGGATAATTTTTAACCCAAACAAGTTACGGACTAGAGCTTTAAATGTGTATATATATATATTTCTTTTTTAATACATTTTATTTATTACATAAGAGTCAGAAAATTATGATTATATTTTTTATATTAACCTTTTTTTTAACAGCTATCAATTCAAACACTTATACAGGAAATTATGACATGCAGTACAATAAAAACATGATTAATTTATAATTTTTCTGATATTTCCAAGATGATCACAAGACCTTTTCTTGTGTCAACTAAATAACTTTGTTGACAGAGTTACATCAGCATAAGTAGCAACAACTGTGTTCTATACTTCATAAAAACACAATGTTTCTGTTTGCAAGACATAAAAACACATAATAAACAAAGGTAAGGAGTATTAAGAATGCTGATCTGGCCCCAGGTCATCATTATTGTTGAGTACTGTGTGTCGGCAAAGGATTCCTAAATGCAGGAAATATCCTGCAAGTCTGTTTCATAATTTGCATGCGTCTGTAGGAAGCATACCAAAGGGAATGTTGTCCTTCCTGTTTGAATGAGTCTAGTTCAAGTCTTCCTGCCTTAATTCACCACAGTAATTACTCCAGATTTAAAAACGCACTGCACACAGATTGATCTTAAAGGGATAGTTCACTTTGAAATTAATTTTTGGTATGTTTTAGCTTACCTCAAGGGCATCCAAGATGTAGGTGTCTTTGTTTCCGCAGTAGTTTAAATTTTGATATTTTTAGGTCAAACCGTTCTTGTCTGTCAGTCATATAATGCAGGTCTATGCGGTCACCACCTCAAAGAGCAGCACAGAGAAGTCCAAATTAAACATGATTTAATGACTCGTAAATGTAAGTACACATTGATGGCCTAAGACACGAAACGAGCGGTTTGTGTGAGAAAACGAACAGTATTTATATAGTTTTTACCTCTTGTAACCACAGCCACGTCCAAGTGATCTGAGGGCGCGGGCGCTTCGGTCTGCGCAAGCGCCGTAAGTGATCTCTTCAAAAAAAAAAAAAAAAAATTCAACGTTGTCTGTTGATATATCGAAATCAGAATCTTCCATTGCGATTTCCTGTATATCTAAATATGTTTAGATCTTCACAGTGAAAGGTAACACTTCCGAAATCTCTGTGTAAACAATGAGTGCCGTATACGCGCGAGAGATCACTTTCCGGCGCTTGCGCAGACTGAAGCGCCCGCGCCCTCAGATCACTTGGACGTGGCTGTGGTTACAAGAGGTAAAAACAGACAAGAACAGTTTGACCTAAAAATATCAAAATTTTAACTACTGCGGACACAAAGACACCTACATCTTGGATGCCCTTGAGGTAAGCTAAAACATACCAAAAATTAATTTCAAAGTGAACTATCCCTTTAAGGTAATGTTTATCGCCAAATGCCTTATTACTTCTGTGAACCTTTAAGCACTGCAGTTGTTCATCAGCCTCTCTTTCTGCAAGATGGAGAAGCTCTTCTAATGTGCTTACGATGCAAACACTTTTTGACTGAGCTAATTAGATTCTGGTCTTGTGACGCTGTGGGAGTTGTGTGAGGTTTTATTATCCGTGTGTGTGTATGTGATTGTGAACGTGTGAACAGGTTTGAGTTTAGAGCAAATGGAATGTGGCTGACCCAGAAACAACAATTCAACAATCTGACTCACTCAACCACTGATCTATATACAGTATACACAGTAAATGACTGGATTGCTCATGACGTCAAAAAAATGGAGCCGCCTCGCCCACATGTTGGTATTCCCTACCCTAGTATTCTCACACTCTAGTGAATTTATTGGAAATCATCTGATTTTAATGAGAAAACTACCTAATGAGTCAGTGTTTTTATATCTGAAGTCTCCCTGTACATTCTTACAAAGTAAACATCATAAACATTTAAATGGTTATTTGATTAAAGTTAGGAATTTCCCCTGCTTATTAAAAGTTACATTAATCTTCATTATAGTAGCGAATATCAGATCAGTTGATCGACAAGACATCTCAAGATTTGTATTACAAATGTCAAAATGATTTTTCTGAAATCTGAATATGCTTTGTAAGGCATGTGCATACAACTTAATTCGCCATGTACAGTTATTCACTGTGCTTATGTAATTATGTTGTGTTATATAATGTTTTTATTCATACAGAAAATGTAAATGATTCAACAGTGTTTTCAATAACAGCATGTATTTTAAATCAGTAAAGATAAAGACTTAACAAGGTATACAAATAACACTTAATTCATATGCAAACTGTCTTGCTTGTAAAAAGCCATAGAATTTGAGCTGACCTGTGGCTTTTTAACAAGTTCTCTAAGAGTCTAAAGTAGACGTTGGTCAACAAAAAAGCTAAAATAATAATATACACGCTTCACAGCATATTCTGAGAAATAAAGCTGACTGCGTATGGATTTAAAGACATGAAGCTTTATGTCACTCCTTGGCAATGTAGAGCAATCCAGTCATTTATATAGAT